AATTCAAGGCAATGGTCTGATGTTAGGGGATGGTCCCACAGCTTGACCCTGCTGTGGGCTTTTTGTTCCAAACCATATTACTTCCCAGCACAGGTATTTCTGTAGGCACACAGGGAAATAGGTTTTCTCTTCCTTCAGATAAATGATGGGGAATAACTTTTTGTTACTGATGAGTTACTTTTCAGCTTGCCTTTTTCTTTTTCTTTTTTTAATATGGTGCACTCTGTGACTGTTTGGGACAGCACAGCTCAGAGTGGAAAAGCTGGGGGAGATGGCTGCTTCAGCTTAGAGGGTTTGCCTTGAAGCTCTGCAGAGTTGAATTCAGAGGCTCAACACCCACATAGATGTGGATACTGAAGGGCATAGTCATATTACTGCCCTTCTGAGACTGTGAATCAACTCAAAGGTACAAGGTGGTTGTAGATAACATGGTTATTAAAGCCTCAAAGGTCAGAAGGTGATAAAGATTATCTATTCTGATTTCTAGTGAATTACAAACATAATCTATTTCCAGGAAAAGCTGCAGTTTTGAAGTGTCTGCTGGACATTCACAGGATTTTTATGGAGAACGACCCTGCCTACATCCTTAACGATCTCTTCATTACAGACTATTGCATCTGGATTCAAAAATCCAAGTAAGTTCTTAAGTAGCTATTGATATGGGAAATGTTTTTAGTACAATTCCATCTATGAACCAATATCAGTAAAATCAAAATAAATTCTATCTTACAAATGAAAATCAGACAGAATCATGGAATGGTGGGGGCAGAAAGGGTCCTCTGAAGATCATCTTGTCCAGCCCTACTGCTCCAGCAGGATCACCCAGAGCAGGATGCCCAGGATGGCGTCCAGGTGGGTTTGGAATCTCTCCAGAGAAGGAGACTCCACAGCCTGTCTTGGGCAGCTTTTTCTGGAGCTCTGTCACCCTCACAGGAAAGAATTCTTTCCTTCTGTTCAGGTGGAACGTTCTGGCTTCCAATGGGTGGCTGTTACTCCTTGTCCTGTCACTGGGCACCACTGAAGAATCTGACCCCATTGTCTTGTCACCTGTCCTTTAGATGAGAGTCAGCATTGATCAGATCACCTCTTAGTGTTCTCTTTTCCAGGCTAAGCAGCCCTGGTGCTCTCAGCCTTTCCTCCTCAGACATGCTCCAGTCCCCAGTGTGATTGGTTTGGTTCATTCAGTAACCTTGGCCATCCAGCTATTCTTACTACAAAGGCAAAGACATTCAGTGCATATTTTTATGTGGTGACATCATTGGAGAAGGGAGGGAGGAATTGCATCCTAAATAAAAATGTGATTTTTCGTGACTATAGTGGTGATCTTGGGGGGGGAACAGCTCCTGAAGAATTTTCATTGTGGTCTTTCTTATATTCTGATGAACACCAGAATAGGTGTCACAAACCTCTGTGTGCTGTGTACTCCTGCCCTGTAGCTGTTTGCCAGCTCTCTCTCCCTGGCAGTGTGCTTTGGCTCCACTTCACTTGAGAGGAGACAGTGACTCTGCCACTTCCAGAGAAGGTCTCTGCACCTCAGCACTTCTGTGTCTCACGTGTGCTCTTCCAGTGGCTTCAGTGTGGCTTTACTTAGCTCCAGAGTCTCAGGAACTTTACAGCGTCACTGGTTACAAGTATTGGTAGGAAAACAGTGAGAAAGGGATTAAATGAACAAAGAAAAATGTGTTCAAATTTTCCTAAGCTTTATATTGTTCTTCTCAGATTGATTCTCTTTTTCATACAGCTTTTTTCTCCTTCTCTTTTTATGTCTTCACAGCCTTCTCTGAAGGCCCACAGAAGTATGTGTATGAGTTGCAAGTAGTATTTCTCTGAAAAGGAAGGTGTTGATGGTATAAACACAAAAAATGCCATTGTCATATTTGTTAATATAGTGATATATAGACTCATAAAACAATGGTTAAGAATAGTCTTTGCATCCCAGCTCACAATTTAATGAGGGACTGTGGGAGGAAAAAAAAAAAACAATAAAACCAAACAAACTTCTGAAGTGCAGAAGATAGAAGAAGCAGTGAGGGGATAGGGAGGGAACTTGGTAGTAATCATAATCAGAAAGGGGAATGTCAAAGAGAACTGAGCCAGCTTGCCTAGGCTGTGTATTTAGGTGTGACCTCACCAGTACTTCTTAGGGAATTCAAGGCCTTCAGTGCATAGCTGCTTATGACATGCTGTAGATACTGTTGATTCTTCCCTGTATGCTTTCAATGACTGTGCCTGTAGGTGACAATGCACAAAATTTCTGAAGCAACTGCCTGTGTTTCCAAACACATTGATTCTTCAGTCCTGCTCAGCTACAGGAACAGCCTGTTCATGTTACAGGGCCATTTCTGAGGAGGCCTTTTCTGGCCACACCTTAAACACAAGTGTGGGGAAATCCTTGTTCAGGCTGAGTTGAAAAAGTTCAGCAAATGAAGGAGAAAGTTATTGCATGTGTCTTTCACAAAGAGATGAGTCAAAAGACAGTAACATCACTGCTGCCTATATCAATAAATATAACATCTAGCAAGTCAGTCATGAAAACCAAGGATTTTTTTAAATCCAGCACAAAGAAATGTATGGTAGATATACGTGACTGATCCACCAACACGCTCACTCCCAGACACATACATCATGTACCACTGAAGCAGAACTGACAGCTTCTGGATAGAGAGCAGTTAAACTCTCTTATTGTCACCATGACATGGCACAATAGTTGTCTGCCATTAGGAGAACAAGAGAAAGAGGAACTGCAGAAACTGTTCCTATATTTAGGGTCTGAATCAGGAAGGCATTTAAGCATATGCCTGAGCCATTCCTGTTCACTTCAGCAGTGAAGCAGTGCTTGAAGTTAAGTGTGTGTGAAGCAAACAGGAACACTGTTCACTCACACTGAAGGGAACAACAACGCTCACTAGTCATTCAGAAAATGCTTTGGTGGGTACAGAAACAGATGGTGACTCTGCCAGGGACAAGGGTTCCCAGCTCCCCAGGGGGAGTTGGGCATCAGAGAGGAGGCTGCTCCCTCTTCCACTCCAGCAGAAGGTGGTTATGCCATGCCTCTGGTAATTCCCCTTGTGATGGAAGAGTTTTGGGAGGGGAAGGTATTTGCAGGTGTTTTTGTGATGGTCTTTCAGTGAAGTTGTGTCTGATCCATCTGGATACTTTTCTCTGTTTTGTTTTTTAGCTATTCTTTGCTCCATGCAAGCTTCATTAACTTTCTTTGTCTCCATTTTCTTCCATCTTTTCATAGCTGTAGTCCCAGGGCACACTCCAAATCTGTGGAGAGTTGCTCTTTTCTTCCCCTATTTCCCTGGTATGCAACCAAGACTTAGTGGAGCTTGGGGCCTCTTTGTTTAAACAGTTAAAAGAGACTGGAGGTTCTTTTTAGTGAAAAATCTGGGCACTTTAAAAACAGCTGGAAGCAAGCTTTATAGTTCACCTGTACCAGCAGAGAGAAGTGGGAGCTGGAGGCTTAGAAAAAAGTTTGGCAGGGGCAAAAATGTAATGGAAGTCTCCAGTGGCAGTAAGCCTAGAGTCCTATTCCAGATTAAGCCTCCAGGAGAGGAACACCACTGGGAGGTAATACCTTTTAAATACTAAATGTGGAAACAAAAACCTCATAGCCAACTGTGTGTCAATAGCTGATTAAAAATTTGGTTGGAGATCATAGTTTGGCTGTGGCTGAATAAGTGACTGTGTCACTGGGCTGGCAAAAGATGATTTATTTTAAGCACAGTGTATTTAGAATTGGAAATGATTAAGCTGCTGAGTGAAACGTGCAGGTGGCTAGTAGTCAGTTTGGTATGGTGAGTACAAGCTAGTTCTTTGATGCTAAGGATTTTAGTTTGTTCTTTCTGTCTTTTTTGTTTGTTTGTTTTGTTTTTTTTCCCAAAGAATTATTTTATTCAGGTACCTGTTACTAAGATTCCTAGAAGTCTTGGACAATGCAAGATATTAGCAAGTGTAGCTAAAATTTCGTCTTCCTCTTTGTGATCTTAATTTTACCTGCTTTCTAAGTTTGTGGTATCTCTCCCTGAGCTGCTTGTGGACTCTTAATAATTTGATCTGTTGCATAAAGTGGTGTGTGAAATCCTTTTAACTCTTCACTAGGTTTTGAAGAAAGGGAGCATGTTACTCAGCACAGCTGATCAGAAAAGAGGGAAAAGTAAACGTTAACCTGGGTAACAAAAGCTAGACAAAGACCTGTGGAGGCAGCTTGTAGTAAATCTCAGCAGGTGGTGTCAACATTTATGTTGAAAAGCCAGATGCAGCCAGATGGAAAATTGCATCTTTAACCCCTGAGGTCATAATGACATGTCATCACTTCATTTGATCCCCCTGCTAAGTGAGCTTATCATCCACCCTGCTGTCACTTCTGTTATTACTTTCATTTCCATAATAAAACTAAATTTAATTTGTCTGGTTTGCATACTTTTTTTTCCTTTAGGTCAGAGCTTTTACAAACCACTATGGTACATATGGCAGCCTTTCCAAGGTGTAGTTATAATTGAATTTGCATGATAAGTTTGAGCTTATCTCCATCTTTCACACCTTCCATTGAGCAGAAGGAGGTGAGGGAGAGGAGAAGGAGCTTTGGGGAGACTGCTGCAGTATGGGCTGCTAAGGCCAGGGGATCTAGGTGTGGATTTGTTGCAGGAGAGCTTTCTCCCTTCTGCCACAGGGGAGTTACATGTCTGTGACCCTACAGGAGTTGTGTCAGCTTCCATTATCACTGTTTTTCTACTTTTTAACTTACTGTCTCACCTTTTACTCATGACCTGTTTTATTGTAACAAATTATGCAATCATTATTTGTGTTGCAGTAGCTTCAAGCCATGCAGTGAAGGAGGTCTGTGTGTTCAGAGAGGTGAGCTGTTAAATTCCCTCAGTGTGTTCTGTGGAACTCTATCTGCAACTTGACTTGCATATAGGCTGCTTTAATGTATGTGTGCTTTATGCTACTGTTAGGTAAGTATATGTAAGGTCTGTACTTACACCTTCATGTGTATCTGCTCCACAACCAAAGACAAACCTCATCTTGCTCATTTTGGTGACTGTAGGTGTAACATGCCAGCTCAAGCGTGGACTATTTGCTTTGAATTAAAACCCAGGATTGCTGGTGGCATTCATACAGTCTCTGTAGAAGCTGCTGTCTTGATTGGAACTAAGTTAAAGCTAAGTCAGATATTCCAAAGCATGTTGTATTTGCTTCTCTTGGTTTGCACATGAGACATACCCTAAAAGACAGGCTGGCTTCATAGGCCTGTTCTCCTTTTCATCCCTTTGTTCTAATCGAAACCTTGTCCTTGTTACAACATAATTACCTAGTCTGAAGCCAGCAGGGAGTTGCTGCTTTATTTGTAGGGTGTGAAGTTCTCTAAATAAATGTAGGATTAATTACATTCACAGCATGTCATGGAGGTGATCAGATTGACTGACTGTGATTGTTCAGCCCCCCTTTTCTTTTCCCCAGGTTTTCTGAGTTACAGTTTTAATCGATATAGTGTAATTGTGGGCCTGAAGTGTCAAGACCTGATGTTGCAGAGGCATTAAGGAGCCCAAGTCTTTCAGGAGGAAAATAAAGACAAAGGTCTGTGAGGTTTAGAATTTGTACTGCCTGTGTCACATCCGACTGTGAAGTG